CACACCATGGGGACAGTCCCCAGTGCCACCCCCACCCCATGGGGACAGTGCCAGTGCCACCCCCACACCATGGGGACAGTCCCCAGTGCCACCCCAGTGCCATGGGGACAGTGCCAGTGCCACCCCCACACCATGGAGACAGTCCCTAGTGACACCCCTGCCCATGGGGACAGTTCCAGTGCCACCCCAGTGCCACCCCGGTGCCACCCGTGCCCATGGGGACAGTGCCAGTGCCACCCCTGCCCATGGGGACAGCCCCAGTGCCACCCCAGTGCCACCCCACACCCACGGGGACAGTCCGAGTGCCACCCCTGCCCATGGGGACAGCCCCAGTGCCACCCCAGTGCCAGCCCCGCCCGCGGAGCCGCGCTCACCCGCAGCAGGCGCCCGTCCAGCCCCATGTGCTCGAACCCCTTCTCCTCCATCTCCGCCGCCATCTTGGCCCCACCTCCTTCAGGCGCGCACTTCCGGCCGCGTGCCCCAGGGACACTTCCGGTGGCGCGCCCCAGCCACACTCCCCGTCCAGCAACACTTCCGGTGGCGCGCCCCAGCCACACTCCCCGGCCGGCAACACTTCCGGTGGCGTCCCCTGTCGGTGGAGGACTGACAGCACCCACTGCGCCCCAAAATCCCCCGGGCTCGATTTCTGGGGTGAAACCGCCCGATTTTGGGTAAATGCTGAATTCCCGCAGCGCCAGGACCCGCTCCCCGTCCCAAAAGCGCAGCGACAACTCTTGTTGGAACAAAAAAAATTTTATTTTCCCCCAAAAAATCCCCCTCGGGGGGTGGCCCTTTGCTGTTCCCCCCCATGGCAGGGGGAGCACCCCAAAATCTGCGGGGAGGGAGGGATCCACCCTGGCACTCCAATATTGGGGGATGGGTTTGGGGGTCCCTCTGGCACCCCAAAATTGGGGGATGGGTTTGGGGGTCCCTCCCTGGCATCCTAAAATGGGGCAGGATGCGTTTGGGGTGTCCCCCCACGGCACCCCAGGATTGGGGTGGATTTTGGGGGTTGTGATGAGTTTTGGGGGTTTTTTTGGGATTGGGGTGGATTTTGGGGTACCCCCCAGATTGAGGATGAATTTTGGGGTGTTTTTGGGGAGATGTGATGAGTTTTGGGCTACTTTTTCGGCTTGGGTTGGATTTTGAGTCACCCACCAGCTTGGAATGGATTTTGGGGCGTTTTTTGGGAATTGGGTTGGATTTTGGGGCGCTGCCCAGGTGGGAAGAGATTTGGGGGTGCCGCCCCAGGAGGTTTTGGGGGGCTAGACGAGTTTCTTGGCCTCGAAGAAGCTCTTGAGGTGCCGCATCTGCCAGAGGCCGGTGAGGATGAGGATGACGGTCTGGGCGATGGACCACCAGAGCACGCGCTGGTTGGTGCTCTCCGAGGTCATGCGGAACCGCTCCTCGCGGTACTGAAACACCAAAACCCCAAAATTATACCCAAATCCCATCCATTCCAACCAAAACCCCAACAATTCTACCCAAAACCCCATGGATTTACACAAAAACCCCATGGATTTACAGCAAAACTCCCCCCAAAACCCCACAGAGAGATTGGGGCTTGGTGCTCTCACTGGCCATGTGGAACCGCTCCTCCCGGTACTGAAAATCCCAAAATCCCAAAATTATACCCAAATCCCATCCATTCCAACCAAAACCCCAACAATTCTACCCAAAACCCCATGGATCTACACAAAAACCCCATGGATTTACAGCAAAATTCACCCCAAAACCCCACAGAGAGATTGGGGCTTGGGGCTCTCCCTGTTCATGCGGAACCGCTCCTCATGGTACTGAGAGGGAAAAACCCCAAAATGCCAAAAATTCACCTCAACATTTCAAAACTTCACTCCAAAATTCCAAAACTCCAAAAACCCCATGGATTTACACAAAAACCCCATGGATTTACAGCAAAATTCACCCCAAAACCCCACAGATTGGGGCTTGGTGCTCTCACTGGCCATGTGGAACCGCTCCTCATGGTACTGACGGAGAAAAACCCCAAATCCCAAAAATCCACCTCAAAAATCCAAAAATTCAAACTGAAAACCCAAAAATTCCAACCGAAATCCCATGGATTTACACAAAAACCCCACAAACTAACCCCAAATCCCCACAAATTCCCCTCAAAACCCAAAAAGATCCCCCTAAAACCCCACAAATTCCCTCCCAAACCCCCAAAATTTTCCCCAAAATTCCATAAATTCCACCCAAAAGCCCACAGGTGCCCAGGTGACCCCCAAAGGTGCCCGCTGACCCTCTGGTAGTTCTGCTCCTTCTGGATCTGCTCCACCTGGTCGAGCAGCTGGCGCGCGCGGAGCTGCAGCTCGGTCAGCTTGTCCTTGGCGGCGATCTCGGGGTAGTTGTTGGTGTGCTCGCCCACCTGGATGTCCAGGTGCACCCGCTGTGGGACACGGGCACGGGGATGGCACCGGGATGGCACCAGGGTGGCACGAACCATGGCTCCAACCACGGTTTCAACCATGGAACCAAGCATGGCGCCAATCGTGGAACCAACCACGGAACCAACCATG